GTAGCTTTCTCATAATCAACTGATAATAATGTAATCATTTTCATAGCCAGAAAAGACCATGTTCTTTTACTCTTCCCTCTCAGTTTCAAATTCAGTTTCAAATATTCTTAATTTCAAATAATAGCAATCAAAAATACTCTTTAAAAATTATTTAGGCAATGAGTTCCAGCCAGTACAGTAACTTAGTTTATTTCAGCTGCATATTTCAAATTGTTATATTTAATTATACCTAAAGAGTTATTTCCAAAGTGATTATTTCCTGAAGTCAAAACCCAGACTTTATGTCTCTAGAGTAATGTGCCATATAGCAGTTTTAACTTCAGTAAGTCTGTATCACCTTCCCAGAGTAGTGCTGGCTGGCCTGGGCTTGTTGTAAATAGCAGGTTCAATCAGATAGCTTTTTAAAAAATGTCAGCATTGTTAACAATTCACACAATGTACAAGGACAGTATTGTACTTCAAAATAAAGATGTATTTCGACCTGTGAAGTAAAGTTTATTATTTAGGAAGTCTGCTTAAGGAAACAGAATAATTTCACATTCCGTAGAAAAAAAACTGAGAGGGCATCTCATCTCACTTTTCTCTTCCTTTATCCCATTTGAAACAAGACCCTAAGAGTAAATGTTTTATGTATAACAGGAAAGTAACACATCATTAAAGGGTGCACACCTGTAAAATCTAATAGTCATAAAAGATTGAGAGTCCCAAAATCTGCTCTTTACTTTCAATATCTGAAAACAATCAAATAATTTTACATTAAATGTAAATTTTCCAAGCGCTCTTGTCTCTTCTAAAGTTTTAAACAAACATACTTGATACGAATATCGCATTTTATCCAAATATCACAAATATTAAATAACTATTTGAACAGCAAGAACAAACAGTTCGAATCCCAATCATAGACAATGTTGTGAAATGTTAATGTATTTAAATTTTTTAATTATATACAGAACTAATTTAAATGCTGCACTCTAAATAATTGGCTATTAATCTTTCACTCATATTAAATAACAAGACCACATAAACAAATAATATCCAATGCAGGAAATTTTCAAAGGCAAACTGCACATTGTAAGAAGTCTAAGTTCTGGCTTTTGGAAAATACTAACTTCAAACAATCTACACAGAAGTGCTGAAAAGCTCTTTTAAGGTAAACACTAAACAACAGTATAATAACAAAAAAATAAAAACAAAATAGTTAATGGATACCTATTAGTCAGGCCAAATTAGTAAAGCAAACAATAGCCATGGTTTCATAATATTGTTAGTGAATTAAAGTAAGGTATTAAGTTACTGAAAATTCTTATTCCAGTTTTATACCAATTTTCAACATTATCATTATTTAAAATAAATTTAAATACCACAGTGTAAATATTTTGAAAATAGCAAATAAATCACATCTTGATGTTGCCTACAGAAGAACAAGATATAGATACACATTACCATAGTAGTCACTTGGAGTGCCCTCTCTACCAGTTCTATTACAGGATACTCCATGAGAAAGAATAATGTGTTCTGGTCATCATGATTGTCTCAAACTGAGACACACACACACACACACACACACACGTGTGTATGTGTGTGTATTCCCAAGTAAGTTGGGAATGGGCACCTGATACGGTCTTGGGATTTGTAAGCAACTATGAGAAACGTGGATGGGAAAGCCCCAACCCCACAGCAGCACTGATGATCTTCCTAAGGAAATCTACTTACACAAGACAGTTAAGTGCAAGAAGAAACGCAGAAAAATTCTTAAAAGGTCACTTACAGAACACTAAAACAAGGTCTGTGAACTGCTGAACTGAGGAGGACACCTAGATGACTCAGAACTACAGCTTTCAAAGACTAAAGAATGGGTATATCGATTCTACTATTCATAAGGGAAATGCCTGATCATATATTGGGGAATGAATGTTAGATATGGAACATTATTAAGAAAATTGGCAGACTGTGAACATGAGAGTATATGGGACAATAGTGTACATCAAAAATATCAAAATTCTGATTTTATAAAAGTTTAATGGTGATATAAAAGAATGACCCTTAGAAAATATGCACTGAAGAATATATTTAAAGGCTGAGGATGTAGCTCAGTGGTAAAGCATTTCCCTACTGTACACAAAGCCATGAATTTAATCCCCAGTACAGGAAAAAATAAATAAAAATGATGTAGGGGTTTACAGACATATGTGTACAATTTAAATGGTTCAGAAAAAAATAATAAGTAGTGTGGGAGAGTTTGGTAGTGGTAACAACTACTACTAAATGACTGTAACAGGATGTTAACAATCGGTAAATCTGAAGGGTTTTAGATAATTTAACTGTGCCTACAACTCTCCAATAAACTTAAAATTATTTCATACTAAAGGATTTTAAAATACTAAGCTTGTAAAAAAGAGTGTTCCTGCATATGAAGCTATATTAGAAGAGGACAGATTCAGTGTGGGGAAACGCAAAACAGAAGGAGCTAAGCAGACACTATGAGATGATGAGAGAGAAATGAAAAACTGGGGAAGACAAAGTTGTTAGAATTTTCTGAAGAGAAAGGAGTTAGAGAGAGCAGGGAGTTCTATACAACTACAGAACTTCAAATTATTTCTCTTGAGAATTCAGCTTAGAACACAGCACACAAATGTAAAAATCTAGAAAGCCCAAGAAAGAACAATCAGAAATGTTTACACCTAACCGTGTTTGGCACTCATATAGGGCTGAGATTGGTACCTGTTCCATGCCCAACAGAAAAACTTTATGATTCACAGTCACAGGAGTATACAGAAAAGTCTTTGTTCAGAGAATTAATAGCCCTATACTCAGATCCTGTCTAATAAATCTCAAAATCAATTACTATAACTATATTCAATATGTTTTTAGCATGTATTAGACATAAAAGTCACATAGAAAAACCCAAGGAAAACTTCCACAGATTAAAAACTACAATATGTGAGGTGACTACACTAGATGGAATTAACAACTTATTTAATGTTGTAAAAGAAAAGATTAGTAGCTTTGAAGACAGAGTTATAGAAACTTTGCAAAATGCAATGCAGGGGGAAAAAGAAAATTTAAAATATAAACAGAGAATCAATAAGCTGTAGGATGAATTCAACTGGCTACTATACACATATTTGGACAGTGGCCAATATGTTAATGTGCATGTTACTTCTTTGATTTTATAATTCTTCTTTAAACTTAAATTATTCTTTACGGTGTTCAACACAGGTTTTTAATAATATATTTATTTTAGACTGAGCCTCACTCACTTCTCTTTCCTCTGGATTACAATTAATATGATGAACACACAAATCACAGCCTCACTTTTCTTCATTTTATCTCTAATAACAATCCTCAACCACCTACTAGACTCTCTAATTCCCTAATTTTATAAATAAATTTGAATAATTTTTGGAAATATGCAGTCTATCACACTACTAAGATGTGGATATTACTTTGTACAATTTTTATGCTATTTGTTTCATCTTTGCATCATTTATGAAATATGTATAAATGGTATAAACACTTTTAGAGTTATAATGCAATTTATGCACATTTTGCAAATTTGACTTCATAAGGGTGTATTACCACAATTCTGAATTTGTAAATGTTGCGCACATTGATAAAATGGTTAAACATCCTCAAAAAACAAAGAGATGTCCCTTCTGTATATCTCCATTTGTGAAAGATAACATTTCTAGAGCTCTGAGCTCTTTGAAACTACATAAATAGGGACCCAATGCAGTTTCCTATCTGATGGATCTTGTCAGGTGTCTTAGGTTGCCCCTCACTCTACTTCACATGGAAACCGTTATAAAGCTGGATGCATACAATTCACATTTATATATTTCACTTTTTGACCTACTATGAATAGTTCATCTGATCACTCTTACTAACACCCGGCTCTTGTTGGTATTCCAGGTGCTTATGTTTGCAAAAAATAGGTATGCTCTTATTGTCTGTTACATAATGTAAAGTGACTTATGGAGCATTCTTTTGGGTTATGTTTCTCAAAAAATCCTCTTAAATGTAAATAAATGTCTCAAATTTTTAATTATTTTTTCCAGAATTACTTTATTTGTAGAATTTTGATTTTTTGAGATTTTAGGGATTTTGATCTTTTATGAATTCAACATTCATCACTTCAAATACACATAGGTCAAACACATGGAATGGCCTTACTGCCTAACAATCTGCTTCAAGATAATTAATCCAGTCTCTTGGGACCTAACCCACTCCAGAGATAAGCATTAATCCTTTATGAGGGTAGAGCCCCTGGGACCTAATGACCTGCTGCTACTAGGCCTCACTTTTAAAGGTCCAACACCTTTCAGTGCTGTTACACTGGGGACCAAATTTCCAGTGCTCTCATTTTGGAGTACAAACCATATCCAAATCACATCATTTACACACTTCTAATTTTTTTAAAAATAGGATCACATTGTATTTATTATGATATAATTTGCTTTTTTTCATGCAACACTCTTTTTATATTCCTCCATATGAGAAATTACTATAATCCATTCATGTAAAATGTATTTATTCATTCTGGACATGCCAGTTATTTCCAAAGATTTGTTCTTAGAAACAGTGTTGAAGAACATCTTGGGCACCTCCCTTCATTCAAGTAGATCTCTATGGGAATGTAACTGCTATGTTATTTCCTACCTCTATGTTAACCCCAGTATAAACTAAGGTTTACAGATATCAAGAAACAGGATCAAGGTCATATAGCTAAGTAGCAAAGTTAAGACCAACAAATTCTACCCTTCCCACTTAAAAGGAAATACTCATTAGGGAGCATATCCCCAGAAATATATAATTATCAAAACGAATCCTGATGTCTTATTACTTTAAATTTTAAAAAGAAGACTGACCAACTGACTCCCCTCAATATAACTTGACCATTCACAGCAACTTGATTAGATGAATGAAGGTCACACAACTTAGAATTTTATTCCTGTTAAAATATCCCTGAAAATTCTAGTTAAATAAAGTTACAGTTCTACTTGCTTCAGTCAGTAGCACATTTATTAAAGATGAAACAATACTTGGAAAATAAACACAGCCTCTGCACAAGAATGACACATAAATTTGTTAAGTGCTATATATATATATATGTTAAATATTTTGGGATGTATATAAATTGTGTACATATAAAATAATAAATATAGTAGTAAAGTACTTCTCAGTTTGGTTACAATTTAAATTAAATAAAAGCACTCTTATTTTTGCCATGACTAAATTATGACTCTGGAATTAGTTTAAGACTCAAGAATGTGAATGCGATAATCATTTTTAAAATACTACATGTTTATTTTAGAAATTACTTAAGAGTATTTTCAAAAGTGTTCTGTACAACATCTCAACTCATCAAATAATTTCCAAAAGCCCTAACATCATTCTTACATTTAAAAAAGGCTATAAAGCCAAACTTTTTTTTTGCTATGTAAACTGTTTAGCTTTGCACATTTAAAAAATATTAATAATTTGATCTCTGATTTATCTCACAATTCAATCTTGCTTTTTAAATAATCCTATCTTTATTCAAATTCTATTATCTATCATGGCTACATATTAATTATATGGATGCTATGGTAAAGCATAAGCATGTTTTTCTAAAAATGGAGCTAATTAGACCAACAGCAAAGGCACCTTTACATTACTAAGTACTACATTAATACTTTCAGTGAAAAAAGTCAGATTAAAACAAAACTGTTACATAAAAGCTTAACTGTACTGCATTAAACATTAAAATGAATTATTTTAATTAGATACATACCAATTCTAAATCTAAGCTACAGAAAAAAAATCTCAATATTTTGTTCTTCATTCTTGTTTTTGTTTTTTTGAGACAAGGTCTTACTATGTAGTTCAGGCTGATCTTGAACTTACCATGTAACCCAGGCAGCCTTGTATTAACAGTGATCCTCCTAGCCACTTCTTCCCAAAAAAGGCAAAATATCTTATAAGTTCCTAGGATCCCAAAAAGCAACCTTCTATTTTAGGGATCTAAAATTTAATGCTTCTTTTAAACCACTCAACAGGAAAAACAACTGTGAGAGGGGAAAGGAGAAAAGAAGGAAGGGAAAAGAAAGAAATAAATTTGTGTGAGTGTGTGTGACAGCTAATATGATTATACTACTAATTCTATTAGTTCATGGAAAAGGACAGTTAATACCCATACAGTCTGATCAATTTTGCATGTCTATATATGGTAACTGGAGCAACTCTTTTGAAGATAACAATATGTAATATAAAAACCATTGCTAAATTCCTATCATCTTGTTTTGAAAACCTATATTGTTACTGTTTGGGTTTTTTGTTGTTATAGTTGTTTTTCGTCTCTTTTGTTCTGTGTTTTTTCCCTCTTTAAAATAAAATAAAAAATAAAGTAAAATTTAATGTTTCTTTAACAGCACTGAAGATTTTAAAAATGGTATTTCAAATATTTTCCTCAATTTGAGATAAACATTACCTAAATAATGCCAAGCCAAAAGAAATAAAAGTTAACATCTTCAAATCTAGCATAATGGTTTAATGTTCTACTTTGTTGCCTTAACAAAACAAATGCTTACATCAAATTCAGAAACCACATAGAGATTCAAATTCACAAGGAAACTACAAGGTCATACTGTGCCACTTGGTATTAGTCATTACCAAAAACATTTCTCCAAGAGGACACAGTATACAAACAACCTAATAATTATCATAACTGGAAATATACTGATATGCTCAAAAAAATCCACTGCTGCAATGGTTTATGTTACCTGTGAAAACCAATTTATAATCAGTGCTAATGTGTTCCATAATCTGATTTACAAGAGTAACTCATTAGAAAGAGAACAAGGTGCATGAATTTCCAAATAAGTGACTGATTAGTGTTTCTACTGGGTGAGGTTATAGGAATTTACACATTACTGGCCTTCTTGGAGTATGGGAATGTTCTGCTCTATTGTGGGAACAGGAGCAAGTGTTCTGGTTATTGAAAACTCTCCCTTCTGTAAAGCAAGAGCATAAATTGTGAAATTTTAGACAACAGGAAATTTCTTTCTCTTAGCAGTTAATAGAAAAATTTGTTATAGGGGATAATGAAATAAACTTTAGATAAATGCTCAGGGAAAAAGGTAAAACTCCAAGAATGTAGGCTTTGAGAATGCACAATCATTGTACAAAAAAAAAAAGAACTGTCTTGCTCAGAGAGAGACAGGGAACAGGGAAACCCAGAATGCCATGACAGACATGCAGGTATTCCATGACCACTCATTAGGGAGTCATATATATTTTAATGCAAATTACACAATGGAATCTTTACTCAAATTATGGTCAATCCTGAGCTTTGACATTTTTTTGATTTTCTACTTCTTGTTTAAAAACAATATGTGCTGATTGATAAATCAATTGACTTTTGGCAACTGGTACTTTCTTTCTTCATTGAGTACATAGGAAAAGCATGATACTGAGGTAGTTCAACCCTGGTATGACACTGCATGGCTACAAACCCCCAAATTCTAGAAGGCTAAGGCAGTAGGACAATGAACTTGAGTCCAGCCATGACCACTTAGCAAGACCATCTCAAAATTTAAAAATGTTAAAAAGGCTGGGGATGTAACTCAGTGAAGGCCCTGAGTTCAATCTCCAGTACTACAGGAAGGAAGAAAAAAAAGGAAAAGAGAAAGAGGGGGAGAGAGAGAAGTCAGTCTAAAAAAACAATGGATTTCTTATCTGTATACCTAATTCTTAAATTCTCAGCAGCTCAGTATCTTTTTGGGATTGATACTGATAAACTAAAGGAACATCATATTTTTTAATCATATTTCTCACTTCAGAAACTATCATTTTATTATTAAATAAAACAATGAGAAATACCAATATCACAATTTTAATGTTAAATTGATTTTTATCTTTGTATCATTTTAATCTTATTTTACTGTTAAATGGTTTTTAAACAATTTCAGAAATATTGGTTTAATTTAAAAATGTGGTCTTAGTTTTTTTTTTTATATATTATACATCAATCTTATTTGACTGGCTTTTCACAGATTATAAGACAATATTTTAACCAAAACTGACAATTCAATAAGCAAATAATCCACCTAAAAGTTCTGACACAAACACATTTAATACTTATGATACCATGAAATTATCTTTCATTAAAACAATACTTTCCATTTTTCTTAGCATTCTCTGAGCATATTGAAGTAATTAAGGAAACTCTAAATGAAAAAGCAACTTATGATTTTGGATGAATTTGAGAAAAATTTTAAAGGATGAATAATAAATACTTATGCAAGTCAGATGTTTCCAATACTTTGCTTTCAGAAAATTGAAGAGGATCTTAATGAATTATCATTTCATAGATCATTGAAAACAGTTTTTGATGAGAAGTCACCATTTGATTTGTTTTGCAGATGATATGGAAGTTTAAATAACACTCCCACCTTCTTAAGGTGATCAAATGTCTAAACAGTTATGTTTATACTCTGAAAAACAGGAGTAAGTATGATGCTGAAGCCAGTCTCATTCTAAACATACATAACATTTATTAAGATACATGAACTAATCAGGAGTAAAGAAGGATATACTTCCACTACAATTTTACTTTCAATACCTATTATTTAAATAGATTTGAAAGATATTGGTTTTGTTCAATTGTATACTACAAATAATTTATAATGACAAAGTTTATTACGATGTCATAAGACTGGGACAGACCCAGTGACCTCCATTCCATCCCAGGTACGCGAGGAAGGCACAGGGGAAGCTTTGGAACATCACTCCCAGTGGGTAAGACCCCGCTTAGTGCCTTAAATCATCACAGTGCGTAATGGGAGATCACTGGGGGCCTGATTAGGTCAGACCCAGTGGCATCCATTCCATCCCAGGAGCCAACATTGCACAAGATGATTCCCACCCCACAGAGAAGCTTTGGAATATTGCTCAAAATCTAGAAATATAGGAAAATGACAAAATGAAAGAGCAAAACATAATCTCAAACCTCCAGCCCATCCCAAGCAAGCCTAGGAAACATGGACATAGAAGAAAATGTAAGCCATACACCTAAAATTCCTGAAAGGATCACAACTGAAGTAAAGAAACATTTCTGGGAAGCTATAGAAGAACTCAGATCAGAAATAATCTCCTAGGCAAAAGACGAAATGATAAATGTAATGAAAGAAATGCTGAACATATCTAAGAAGACATACTTAAAAAATTAGAAGAACAGTGCACAAAGATGGAAAGCCTGAATGAACCATATATGAAACAAACAGAATACATGAAGCAGATGCAATGACATATACAAGAAATCAAAAATTCCACCGAAAATTGGCAAAACCACCTCAATGAAAGTCAACATAGAATTTCAGACCTCGAAGATAAGATTTTGCAGCTAGTGAATAGGAAAGATCTTTTAAAAAATAAAAGGAATCAGGAAATAACAATTCAACAGCAGCAAGATAAGCAAAGAAAACCAACATAAGATTGACAGGGATAAATGAAAGAGAAGGGGATAACACAAATGATATCAAGAGGCTATTTACAGAAGTAATAGCTGAAAATTTCCCAAACATGAGAATGGGAACTGACATACAGATCACTGAAGCATATAGAACTCCAAATAGCCATAACCAAAATAAAACTACATTCAGACATATAACAATCAACATCCCAGAAATCCAACATAAGAACAGAATATTAAAAGCTACTGGAGAAATGAGACAGATCACCCACAAAGGAAAGCCTATCAGAATCATAGCAGACTTCTCAACACAAACAATGAAGTCAAGAAGAGCATGGAGCGAAGTATTTCAGATCCTAAAGGAAAATGACTTCCAACCCAGACTGATGTACCCTCTAAAACTGTCCTTCCAAATGGATGGAGAAATAAGCTACTTCCATGACAAAGAACAGCTGAAGAACTTCATGACCACCAAACCAATCCTGCAAAGAACACTGAAAGACATTCTAGACAGACATAGGAATAAAAAACACTAAGCAAGGCGGACAATTAAACACAGTGGAAAGGTAAAAAAGCAACAGCAGAAAGATAACATGTCAAAAATAAACAAATATAAATCAGTTATAACCATTAATGTAAATGGCCTCAATTTACCA